TTTTTTATTACATTTTTTTCCTTCTCTTTCGAAGGGAAGCCAGAGGCTGGCTTTCACCGATAGGAACGTCGCTCCGACCGGGATGAGGGAGAGGGGGAGGGCGATCGCGAGGCCCGAACAGGATGCGAACGAAGGGGGTATTTCCTGTTCGGAGGCGGAGGTTGAGAGGTGAATGTGGAGTGGACGATAGGAGATGGTCCTGCGAGATTGAGTCTTTGGTAATGAGCGCGGTTACGGCTTGGAATTTACGAGAGGATTAATTAGTATTATGTACGTATACTTGTGGAGGGAGATAGTTGGAAATTAACTGCATGATTATTGAATGATAACACTATCGTGAGATGAGTAGAAAGTTGTTAATGGCCTTTGGGATGGAATTCTTGTGGTAAAGGGATGTACAGAGGGATCAGAAAATTTTTAAGATAACCAAGGAATTTATATGATGTATCCAGTGCTGTAGTACGCACAAATCTCATTCCCGTTTATGATAACGTTCACTCTCTGCACTGTTTCTCAATTTTGGTACTCGTGTTGTTAAATTTTCTACTGAATTCTTCGTATTTAATTTAAATTTCGATTCAAGTTCTACTACTTTTAACTCGTGCAAAACATTTCCAATGAAATTTAAGTTGACAACTTCCGAGGACCAACGCGTACGATTCTTAAGAATTACTACGTTCCTTCGCGGGGATTAAATTAGATTTTTTTTTTTTTTTCTTGAACAAAATATGCTTAATACTCGAGTTGATCAGAGTAGCTACCAATGAACTCTATAAATTGAAAAGTAAAGAAAACGACGATATTAGAAACACTGTTCTTTAAATCAGAGAATTTTTAAATAATTAAAATTTACTATTGTAAATAGAATTCACTATTAACAGATGGAGTTTCGTAACGAATGAAGCCAGCAGAAGCAGAAGCTCAACATTCGAAATCACACGCTTCCGCGATGGAGTTAATCGCTTTAGAGATTGCCTCTGAAAGACTCATCTATCACCTTCTTAAGAGGAATTTAAAAAAAGATCGAAACGTTGAGATTGAATTCTTGCTGCACGGACGCCATGAATTTTAATGGAAATGCACTGGAAACCCCGTGTCCCACATTCACTTTTCAATCATCTTGACTGGGAGCTTCGCGATCGTCCGCGTCTTGGCTCGTGCAGAGAAGTTCCTGTCGCGATAAAAAAA